CCTGCACTCCAGTCTGGGCGACACAGTGAGACTCCAACTCAAAAAAAAAAAAAAAAGATGAGCCCTACATTCTCTCCAGATGAAATCAGGCCCATCTTTGTATCCTTAGGCTCAGGCTCTTCTCCGTTGGCATGATGCTCATCAGTTCTGCAGCAAAAGTGGGCAGCCCACCAAGAAGAACATGGCTGGCAGCAAACGCGTGTGCCCTTCCAACAATATCATCTATTACCCACAGGTAAGCATTGCTTTAAGAGGAGTCATCTGAGAAGACTGTACTACTCTGTCCCAGGGAAGGAAACCTGTATCATTAAAAGACTTTCCTTAGTTATTCATTGTTTCAGTCTATTAACAGGCCCCAAAGTGCCAGCATCTCAGTGTCATCCCCCTTCCTAGATGGCTCCTGTGGTGATCATTCTGGTGTCAGATGGGACGCGATGCCTGCTTGCACGCCAGAGCTCCTTTCCCAAGGGATTGTATTCTGCCTTGTCAGGTTTTTGTGATATAGGTAAGGAGTTTAGGGGATACATAGGTGGCCCTGGAGGATATAAAATCTTACTAATAGAAGGCATTTCTCTGTGTTGTTGCCATAGTGCTTGCATCCCCAAGTACAACCTTCCCTATCATGTCAAGAAAACTGTCTTCTGGCCTTCTAATTGTCCAAGTTTTATTAGGCAAAATTTCAAACATACAGCATAAATAAAGGAATTATACAGTGCATACCCATACACCGACCACCTAAAGTCTATAATTTATTTTTTTCTTCATCTGTAGGGCATTTGTTCATAGAGAGGCCACAAGTTTCATGCCCTTTGTAACAACAGATTCCTGTTGGGTGTGTTATAAACAGAGGAGCAATTCTTCAGGCCCTCTACTCTGTGACACAGCTAGAGTCTATAATTCTTTTACTATACTTCTTAATCAAATTTCTATTAATCTAACCATCCAGCAATCCTTTTTTTTTTTTTTTTTTTTTTTTTTAGTTGGAGCCTCATTCTGTTTCCCAGGCTGGAGTGCAGTGGCATGATCATGGCTCACTGCAGCCTCAAACTCCTGGGCTCAGGCAATTCTCCTGCCTCAGCCTCCTGACTAGCAGGGACTACAGGCGTGCGCCACCACTGGCTAATTTTTTGATTTTTTTTTTTTTTTTTTGTAGAGACGGTCTCACTATGTTGCCTAGGTCAGTCTTGAACTTCTGGGCTCAAGTGATCCTCTTGCCTTGGCCTCCCAAAGTGTTGGGGGATTACAGGCGGGAGCCACCACACCCAGCCCTATCTTATTTTTTGATGCATAGATTGCAGCTATTACTACACATGTCCCTAAATATTTCAGCACCCGTAACATTAACAAAGATTCAATTTTTATTTACAGCTTGTTTCTTTTTTCCCCCAGTCTATTGAGGAAAAATTTGCAAATGATGAAAAGTGGAATTTTATTTTATTATTATTATTATTTATTTATTTATTTATTTTTTGAGTTGCAGTCTCACTCTGTCGCCACACTGGAGTGCAGTGGCCGCTCCCGGCCACCGCAGCCTCGACCTGCTGGGCTCCGGCGATCCTTCCGCCTCAGCCTTCCAAGTAGCTGGAATTACAGGCGCGCACTACCACACCCGGCTGATTTTTTGATTTATTGTAGAGATGAGGCCTCGCCAAGTTGCCCAGGCGGGTCTCGAACCCACAGGCTCAGGCAATCCACTCACCTCAGCCTCCCAAAGGCGCGGGATTACAGGCCGAGCCACCGAGCCCGGCTGTGGAATTTTATTAAAGCTGAGGGCAGCAGCAGTCTCTCCCACTGTCACCCTTACTTTGCATTATAGCTAACATAGTAGGCTTAACCACTGTGGTTCAACCCGGTGGAACTGATTTCTATTGTTGGAAAGACTCAGGCTTTTAGGACACTCCCAAAAGCATCGCATGGAAACTTAGGAGCCAGTTTTGAGCTCCTTTCACAAATGGGCGACCGATATTACCCTTCCTGCTACAGGGCTGTCCTGAATTAATCTGAGTGCTTGTAGGTGAAAGTCTGGAAGAGACTATCCGGCGGGAAGTTGCAGAAGAGGTGGGATTGGAGGTAGAAAAACTGCAGTACGCTGCGTCCCAGCACTGGCCCTTTCCTGATAGCTCACTCATGATTGCTTGTCATGCAACTGTGAAACCAGGGCAGACAGAGGTAAGTTCTTATGTTTTCCTTATGCTATGATATTTCCTTTGTTTTACCCAATCCGCTGGTCAGCAAGTATTTATTAAGCACTTATCTGGCATAGTCTATATTATGCAAAGAGGTACAAGGTATGATTTATAACCTCAAAGAATTTGCAATCTAGTAAAAGAAACAAATAATCACTCTTCTTTCCTGTATATAACTCAATCATGAGATAATTTTTTAAAACCGTTTTATTAAGGTATGACTGACATACAAAAAGCTATAAACATTTAACGTATAAACTTGATGTATTTGCATATGTCCTTGAAACAACCAAACCATCACCACTCTCAATGCTATAAACTTACTCATCACTTCCAAAAGTTTCTTCCTGTTCTCTTTGTTTTTAGTTCTTTATTTTTATGTAAAGGTACTTAATATAAGATGTGTCCTTGCCAGGCTCGGTGGCTCAGCCTGTAATCCCGCGCCTTTGGGAGGCTGAGGTGAGTGAATTGCCTGAGCCCACGGGTTCGAGACCCGCCTGGGCAGCGAGACCTCATCTCTACAATAAATCAAAAAATTAGCTGGGCGTGGTAGCGCGCACCTGTAGTTCCTCCTTGGAAGGATCGCCGGAGCCTGGCAGGTCGAGGTTGCGGTGGCCGGGAGCGGCCACTGCAC